ACATGGTTTGAAAAAACTCCAATTTTCATGGACTTAGCCTATTGCCAAGCAAGCAGCCCTCAGGCTTTGGCATCCTGAGATGCCAATCGTATGCTCAGCATTTGGTATTTCTGGGTCCTTGCTGCTAAAAATACCAGCTCCACTCATGAGTTAATAGTGGTACAGAACTTGGTAATTTTTCATAAAATAATAACACGATTAAATATTTGTAAAATATTCAACTATTGCTATGAAAATTGTTCCTTTTTTAGAGGTACAGAGCAGAATCAAGCATTTATTCTCTAAGCCTAGCGCTTTCCCCTACACTTTATCAAATGTTGATTGTTTAGAACAGGTTAGAAAATTACGGCTGTGAGATTCAATATTATAATTTTTCAATTTAATTATTTTGTTCAATCATACATATGTTTATGGATAAGTAAAGCAAATGATAGCAATGATACAAGGAACAGGGGACAGGAATTAGGATCATTCTATTAATACAAGGTACTCAAAATACTCATTAAGTGGTATGGTGTTATTTGAAAGGGCACTTGGTTTGATTGCAATTGTACTAATTTAAACCCTAAGGTAAAGATTTAAAAAGAAAAAAGAGCACACTTGATATGCTGAGCAAGGAAAGACAATAGTATCAGATAAAATGTTCAATTCAAACTACAAAAGCCAAAAAATATAACTAAAATCTTCATTCACAGTAGCACCCAAAATCTAAAACTAGCCATAAACTTAGTAAGAAATACATAAAACAAAAATGAAGTTGCAACACAGCACAACAAAAGAGAACTGACTCAAGAGAAAGCCAGACCAGGCTTCTGAATAGAGAGAGTATTTTAACATTTTTAGATCTTCTTAAATTAATCTATACACTACTTTACAGATAGTATTATACATTAGTATAATATTTAATATGGAATTTTAATCTACTGATTCTATTCAAGGAATTTATCTTACAAGAATAATTAGATATGTATCTGGTAAAGATGTTTTGAAACAGTATACAGTACCTGTACACAAAAGTGGCATGATACCCCATAGCAAAAGTTGGGAAGATAATTAGAAAGAATTCACATGAATACATTGATGTAGAAACATGTATATCACACATTCAGTAGGAAAAGACTGGACCTATACTTGATAATTACATCTCTTAAAAAAAAAAAAAAAGAAAAGTGAAAAAGAACTTACTAGTATACAAAATATCAGTGATTACTTCTGGATAATATATTTTGAGTTATTTTATTATTTTAAATCTTATTTCTGCTTGTTTGTGCTTTCTAATTTTACTACAATGGATGTATTAATTACACATTAGAAAAAATTACAAAAGTCTTGCAAATATATTTTGCTGCACTTACGTGGCTGTCATTAAAATGGAAATTGAAGTAACTTGTTTTTTTCTGTTTACATCTTCCTTGGAACCTTAGACTAGTGAACCGAATTACAGACTTTCCCTTTCAGATGATTGCTATTGTCTGTGAGGTAAACAAAAACCTTTTGAAAAGTAAAAAGCAAAAACAAAAACATGAACTTTATGTTCATTTTATAACATGTAACACACACCAGGAAGTACCCTTCAAATACCCAAATTTAGTTTTTTAACTCATTGGTACCATGACCTTAAAAAAGTCACTGGCCATTCTGATATGCCATCTTCTTGCTTTATTTGAAATACAAATAAAAATACATAATATATTCAGTTTATGAGAATGTTTTGAAAACCAGGTGAAACAAAGAGTCTTCAATTTTTTTGTTTTTGTTTTTAAGTCAGTAAGGAGCTAGAAAAACAAAAGACATTAACCTTAGATATTTTGTTTTTGTGTTTTCTTCCCTCTTGTACTTTTCTTGTCTATTACACATTTCTGGTGTTTTTAGAGCTGTCATAAGCCTGATATTTTCAAAGTAAATGCATCTTAAACCCTAGGACGACAAGCTGCCCAAACAACATCATTCCTGTTATTAAGACCCCAAGATAGACTTAAACATTGAAGACTCATTCAGTGGTCCCCTTTCTTACTACCCACAGAGTTGGCTTGGAGGCTCCAGCTGTAGCATGGCACAAGATAAAATGAAATAAAAGGCTTACATGTATTAATATGCTGTTCCCTTTATGCATTTCTAAAGACTCGAAATGCTTATGCCCAGTTTAGGCAAACACAATAGTGATTATTTACATGGCATGAAGGAGGTAAATACTCAAGAAGAAAGTAACTTGAGGCTTTAACTCAGCATGATATAAACCATCATCTCACGTTTTCTATGGAAAACAGTCTCAGCCTAGAAATTTGGTAGCTCAGTAGGCTATTAATAGCATGTGGAATATGATTACTTCTTTTGGATTACTTCAATGTGTAATTACTTTTAAGAGCTAGCAGAAAGAAACTCTATTAAATGATAATTATAGGGCTGTATTTGCTTTAAAGTTTTGTAATAGCTCTAAACATGGGAGTTTTCATTAAATGTTTGCCATAGTTAATAAAGTAATTTTTTTTAAAAAGTAGCAATTCTCTGCTAAACTGATAGCTCAACAGTACAGTTAGTCTCCTACAGAAAAGGTGGAGGAAATGGACAGGGTAAACAGTTAGCTTTTCCTAAGTGATATAATCTCCCTGAAAATGCAGATGTCATGCGAGAAGTTCTACAACAAACACCCCCTATAAAATAGGACTTAATGTAATGTTTATAAAGATAATAGTAACCCACATGATACACATATAAAAAGGCCAGGGCAGGTGGTGGAGAACTGGGCACAGAGAGTAAAGCCTGAAAGAGCTGGCTGTTTGCAGAAGGCATCTCATGATAATCAGGGATCCTAGCTGGCGTGGAGTCAGGAACTAGATGTCAAGGGTAAGTTGGGGCAACATCAACCACACAGAAAAACTGGATCACAGATATTTCAGGAAACAGCCTGGGCAGCACATCAAGACACTGTTTCAGTTAATTACTTAAAATAAGGGTCCATCGAATGCAACATAGGAAGCGTGTGAGATCATCAGAATTTTCTGGATAACTAAGCAATCCTCCTCATTGATCAAGGTGAACTCACTATGAAATATGTTCTAAAAAGCATTTCTTTATCATAAAACTGACACAAACTGATGCTGAAAAAATAGATCAAATTGCCAATCTCAGGTAGAGCTGAAAACTAATTTGAGGTGATAGAATATTCTAAGAGTGGCGGCAGAGGCTTTTATTAACCCAAGTGTACACATACCTTAGAAAGCTTTATGAAAACTCTATTCATGTTACCTACTTCAGTTCAGATCATTACACATTCATTAAATGCTGAACACATGTCAGAGTTTTTCCATTTTGGGAAAACCTATCATTACAAAAGAAAATTCCTCTATTACATCTGAGTAACCCCCAAAGTGTGTGCAGGAGTGCTGTGTGTTCCCACTTAGCTTTGTGCTTGGCAGAATCATCATTTTAAAGGGCTTGCATCACCTGTTCACATGAATCAATTCAACAAGGAAAAGAAAACTCCTAGCTTGAATGTGAAACTAAAGAATGATAAATAACATTTCTGTCTCAAAATGATGGAAATAATTTATGATGCACACCATGAGTTGTTCTCCAAGGCTGCTTTTAAAACACGTGTCTCTGCACATACAATTTCCTTCTCACCTTGGTGCTTAAGAGCAAGTTCACTGGGGAAAGCAATGCACCTGGAGAGAAAAGTCTCTGTCATGAAACTTAGGACATTTTAACTGTCTCGTTTGCTATGTATTTGATTTATAAGGCCCATGATTAAAAGCTCAAATCAGTTCAAGAAATTTAAAGGAAGTGGGGCAAATCATATTCTTTCAAAATTCAAGTAGCTTAGGGTGCACTTGTCTGTTTAATCAATGTGACAAGGAAGTTAAGGGAATGGCCTGGCAACAAATAAATGCCTGGGCTTAAAACTAAGCTCTAAATTCTATTTTATTGAATAATTTAGGGAAAGTTAAAAAATAGTTTTGTGCATCACTTTTTCATCTGTAAAAGGAACTACCAATAATGCCTACCTCTAGTGAGAAGAGAATTAAGGGAACAAAAGAGTGAAGGTCTTGACATGGTGCTTGGAACAAAACTATTGCATAATGGTGTTGTTGAGAGTGATGCCAGTGATGAGAGAAAGTGTAATATTTGTTTTGTTAAAGATCTTGCTCAATCATCCAGAAAGCAATCTTGGACATTTGGAACTAAAGAAAGCTTCCATGTTCACAGCTGCCACCTTTCACTCCTATGCTACACAATGCCACTGGCTCCTTTCTTTCACAGATCTATATTGTCCAGGTTTATATGCACAGTGTTCATTAAGAAGTAATACTGAGAGAAAACCAACCTGACTGAGTTAAAGCGTTTATGTTTTTCTCCCAGGCCTTGCCACCAACTTCCTGCAGGGTCTGTAACTTCTGTGCACAACAATATCATCTTCTACTATTAATAACTTACAAATCTAGAATTCACTTGAATGACACAATGAGATGCAACAATCGTGCCACATTTGACTATATTTCCAGTGAGCAAACTGCTGCACCCCGGCTCTTCACCTTTAAGTAGCAAGCTCTATATCCAACTACACTACATTATAACTGTACTTTGGCAAGGAAGGCCTGTGCTTGAAAGATTATATTGCCTTGCAAAGTTGAACTAATCTCTTTTAATGCTTTCCTTGATATCAATATTCATAAAGCCATGCTTCTCCCCAAGGGTATATCAACCTCTTAAAAAATGGAGTTGTTTGATATTGACCCATTTGTAAGCTTCCCCATTTGGCATTCCCACTGCTTCATGAATATCAAAACCAATAAAAAACGAACATAAAATTAGACTCACTTGTTCATATGCATCAAATGAGCCCATGTGTCAAAATAGAAGTAGCATTATTATTTCTTGTTTGTGCTTCAACAGGAAAGCATTATTAAGATTAGTGAAAATATTTGCGCTGTGTAATATAAAAACCATGTTTTCCACTTCTACTTCTCCAAATGAGAATGAATAGAAACCTGAGTACAAACCTCTGTTGTCTCTGACTGTGAAATTTGGATTGTGAATGATTTCAGGGGGTAGGCTGAAGATAAATCTTGGTCCATTGGCAGTGTCATCCTTGTCCTCTGCGCTAATTGTAACAATTGGCTGAAAGATAAAGGTGGTTTGCAAATAAATCATGATGACATTGGCATATCATTTATTCAAAAATACTAGCAGAGTTAAATGCCAGGTTTTAATTAGAGAATATAGCTTCAGAGCAAAACCAGGTCTAGAAAATCTCCTTGAGCAACAGAAAGATACTTAACCCCCTCCTCAAAAACAAATTCTATTCATCAATTTCTTGCTTTTAACCAGAGAAAGAGAGAACAGCATTACCTGGTTGGAAAGGGGTTTGATCTGATCACTCTCACAGATGAAGCCTTCATAGGGGGCAGCAAACTTGGGAGCATTATCATTGACATCAAGCACTCTAATGGCCACCGGGACTTTGGTTTCTTGATGTCGGTTGTCTGAGAAGAGAGAATGCAGACAGTAAACAAATACCAGGTAAAAACCATACATTTCTCCCTATTCACTCTTGGGAAAGAGTAAGCTTTAACCTACTCTTCCAGGCAGTTCAGGGAAACGCATTGTTGGCACAAAGTCCATCTAGGAGCAATTTAGTGGAAGAAAGATAACATAAATAAATGTAAACTAGAGCAGTAAGAACTAAATCACTCATCCACTTCTGCTCACAATGATGGTGAACTTGCTTTTTGAAAACTAATAATAGAACCTGGACATTCTGGAACCTATTCTACCAGAGTGGTTCTCAAAATAGGACCCTTACAGGAGCATCAAAACTATCTGGGAATGAGACGGACATACAAAGTATTGGTCAGATGTCAGATCTACTGAATCAGAGACACCAGCATGGAGTCCAGAAACACTGGTTATGATAAGCTATGTATGAGATAAATGGAGGGCTTAATGCATGATTAAGTTTGAGAAATACTGCTCTATAAGTAAATAAAAATTTGCAGCTCTCGCCTCTATAGCTTTTGCTTTGAGTTTAGCAGGATGATCATGCATTTTAAACTGCTGAGGGCTATGAGCTATCTTGCCAAGTCTGTATCAAATTCTGCCAAAGAAAATGAAATTATCGCTATTTGCCTTTGTATTCCTAAATATCTGAACATAAATTTTAAAATAAAATAAAAACAAACAACCAAAAAGTCCTCGAGACTTTAAAGAAATCCTCTTCAACTATTTTGTTTCTCAGAATATAGAAAAATTCTGAAGGATTACTGTTTGGTAAAGTAAAATCAAAACCCTTAGGAGAAGACTTACGGATTTCTGCTGCAATGACAGAGATGTTGAGCCAGGCGGTTTCTTCTCTATCCAGAGGTTTTGTGGTTTTAATAAAACCATCCTCTAGATTAATAGTGAAAAACCTGTCGAGGTCAGTGTGACGATCAATTGAATACCTAAGCAGAATGCAAATGAGGCAATTAGACCAAGATATTCAGAGCAGTTTAATATCTGAGTACTTTCTCTATGTTATATTTAAAGCAACTTTTTCAGCAAATTGCTGGAGCTCAGTTTTCTTTTTAATCAAATTTACTTTTCAACTTTATCCATGAATCTTTTATAGGAATCATTTTGCAACATAGAAATACTTTATTCAGTACAATGAATGAAAAACCTGTTTAGCATATTTGATTGAGAAGTATAATAATGTGTTGCATATTTCTCCATATTTACTACAGTCACCCACATCTGAATATTTATGAAATTGCGTTTGGGAAGTGAGTTTGCCTTGCTCCCAAACTACTCAGAAAGTCACAAATATACTAAAGCTTTGCCAAGTTTTTGTATATGAAGTATTAAATAGTTTCAAGGTTATCTAAATTCATCATCAATGATTATTTATAAACCAGAAATTCAGTTTTCTCTCTATATGAAGAAAAACATTAGCTGTATTTTCAGTGAGTCTCTTTAGTTTGTTAAGTTACACTAATACTCAAGTAACTTGATTCTGAATTCCAGTGTCAATACACCAATCAGCACTGGCCCTGAATTTGCAGGTCATTCTTTCTAGACTTTACTGATTACACACTATACCTAACAACACAACTAGAACACAACAATACACCGGGGCATTAGAAAGTTTATCTTTTCCTAACAAAAGACAGAGTTTTCTAGAATATTACTCGGGTATATGTATAGCAAGGTTAAATGGGAGATGGTGAAGGAAGAATGGCTTATATGGAGGTACAACAAGGTAAAGCTACCTCTCAGAGACTCAGAGTTGGTAAGTATTGCAGCTCTAGTGTTAATTGTTTGCTGAACTCTAAAACCCTTTCCCATTTCACTATACCCTACCATTTCCCAGATGGAAAGCAAGAAAGGTGGGCTAGGTTAAATTGGTAGAGTGCTGAGCGTCATAATTGACTGGCTTCCTGCTCCTAGTGATCATAACTGGGTTTTGCTCAGCCAGAACATCTATGTCTTACAAAACTCATGTAGTTTGATTATTGATGATCAAAAACTAAAGACTATGAGAGGTAGAAAAGACCATGGGTATCAGAGGATTTACTTTTATATTAAAAAGGTGAAATTTAAAGATGTCCTATCTCTAGTTTCCAAATGAGTCAAAGTTGAAGCTGAGATCATCCAATTCTAAACAGCATTCTTTAGAAACAGAATAGAATAGAAATAGAAGTAGAAAAGAGAGACTACCCACTAAGCAGTATAGAAAACAGTACACTTCACAGTGTACCAAACAAGAGCTCATCCATGATGACCTTCGACTTCAAAGTTTCTCTTGGAATTTAATGATGAGCCGCCTTCCCCACTGGTAAAACTAAACCTGGTCATACATCGTATAAATGTCAGCAGTGACTCCAGTTCTCATCAGCAAGCACTGTGTGAGAAAATTTTAGACCTATTTCCTGCCACCGGGGAACTTACAATTTAACTGCCATGACAACATATTAAAAGGAATATAGTAAGTAAAGACATTATTTAATATCATTGAAGAGCTTGGGTTTTGCTTTTGGAAAATCCTAGATACAATTCATGACACACCAAATATAAACTGATTACCATAACTGATATACCATTGGGGAAATCCACTGATATCTTTGAACTTATGTTTTATCTTTTAAACTGGAATGTTAACAGTGTTATTGCCTTATGTTTTCTTGGGTGTATTGTCTTTATCACATTTACCTTTTAAACTGGAACATTAATAATGCTCAGTTCTCATCTTTAAAAATTACATGAAATTGCAGATGTGCAAGATACATTCTCATGCTTCACACACAAGCAGAAATACAACCAGCAAGAGTTGCTATTGTTTGCATTGTTGTTGGAAATGTTTTGAGGACAGATTCCACAAGTTCTCAAAAGTCAGAGTGGGACCATCCTATAGGCACTGAGAAATTATGGAGGGCTTTTAAAAGTAGAAAAAAAATAAGTGACATTCAGCCATCTAGATGTTAATAAGGTAAGTTAAGGAAGATGACCTCTGCAAGAGAGAGTAAAGAAAGAAAAGAGAAAAGTTTAGGCTATGATAAGGAAGGTGACTAAGATTTTGGAGTGACTGAGAGAATCAGTAGGACCCAATGCATATTTTGCTCTTTGAGGGAGACTGGGAAACTTGCACATGGCTTCCAACCTGAGTGCCTGAAAGGGAGATATTAAGGGAAACAATAAGAATTCAGCAGAAAAGAGGGGCTGAAATTCAACCAAAGGTTGCCCGAAATACTATGAGAGCAAAGATTCTGTAGTAGGCAGAATTTAATCAGCTGTTTGTAATTTTTAAGTCACAATAAGTGTAAGTTCAAATTATCTTTTGAATTAATGGGTCAAGCAGTGAAAGAAAAACAATTTGGTAAAAATACATAGCAGACACTAAGATTAGAACAGAAATAGAATCAGAGAGAAAAATCTTCCTAGAGGCAGAGAACATAGGGTATCAACCGAATCTAATCATAGCATGAAAGAAAATCCTATAGGTTAGTGGTCATAAGAAGAGAAAGGTCAAAATAAGTCAAAAAGCTGAGCCTTAGGGAGTTCTCAGTGCCTGAACAATGATCAAAGACACCAGATACGGATTATCTGAGGCATGAATAAATGAGTGCCGAGAAAGTTAAGACAAGTACTTATTTCAGGGGAGATAATACTAAACAAAAATATGTCTAATGCTGCAGGAGCTGAGAAAATGAAAAGATCTGAAAAGGTCCAAATAACCAAAAGCTTAACTAGTACTGTGAGGTCTTGCCTATGTGCCCAAGTTCACAAATCCTCTTAAAGATGAAAAGAGGTAGCCAGGAAATTAGATTGTGAGGATAGCAAGCCCTCTGAATAAAAAACTTGAATGTTCCTTCATAAACTGTCTGACAATTCTAAAATCAGAATCCAAAGTTGATGAGGTGGGAGGTTGGCTCAGGTTCAATATTGAGCATCTTGGATAATTATAGATGTGGAAATTGCGTACATGCACAGAATAGCTAACCACTGAGAATGCAACCCCATCACCAAGTGCAGATGTGATTCCTTGGAGATGATGAAGTGCACGGGAAATGAAGAGCTATTTCCTGTGTTTTTGTTTCATTGTTATTCTAAAATAACCAATGCACCTCAGTATTTGAAATCAAAGATAACTCATCTAAAATTCATATCATGAACATTTTTAAATGTACTTTGAAGGTGTTACAGGGATTCCCAGGCATCAATTAATGTATCTTCCTGAGTAGAAAGAGCACAATAGACAAACTTTCTGGGTAAATCTCACTATTCATGGCCAACGGATAAAAGTAAAAAGTTCAGAAATGTCTCAGGCAAACTTTCATAAAATCTAGCCTCCAACACTTGCTGTTTGATTTTAGGAAGTCATATCATCCATAAGATCATGGAAGTCTCATCTATTGGTTCATGGATCACTCATGGACTTAAAGGATGTCCAAGAATATTAAATGAAATAATTCATGAAATATGGTCTGGCACTAAGAAGATGTTTTGAAAGTGGTAACTCTAAAAGAATGATGTTCAAAAATCCGACACACTGCTATAAACTGCTTCAGCTATCATATTCTTGGATATAAATGGATAAACTTCACTGTCTACGGTAAATGTTTTGGTGTTCACATCCCTTTCCTTTTTATTGCTTCTGTTTCATTATAGGTAGGTAGATGGATAGACAGTCCACCAAAAACATACATACACATTTCCAAAAACAACAACAACAACAACAACAAAAATAAAACTAATATGATGTTTATTTAACAGATGCTGTCCTCAGATGAGAGACCCTGGAGGATGACATGTATCGCAGAATACCCACTACCCCACCGGCCCTTAGAGAAGAAATTGAAAATGCATGTGTAGAAATCACAGAGACCAAGATTAGCCAAGCAGCTGTTTGCTGTATTAATAATGGCCATCATTGTGAGGGCCTTATGTAATTGTAGAGGCCAAAGCTAGCTTGTATTATTCTCATGATGTCTCAATAAATTTACCCTTAAAGTACAGTCATACAAATTTTTCTTTTGCTGGTGTGTATACTTTTGTCTGTCTATCTCTCTCTCTCTTTCTCTTTCTTTTTCTCTGTCTCTGTTTCTTCTTCTCTCTCCATATATATATATATATATATATATATATATATATGTGTTTTTGAGCACAGTGATGTTTCAATAAATATATACATTATATAATATCAAAGAATAGTTATTATCATATGCTTCACCTTGAATATTTATCAATAATTGGTTGTAAAATTATTCAAAACCTTTTCTTCTAGTTGTGTAAAATAGACAGTACCTTATTTATTTATTTATTTATTGGTATCAAGGATTGAACTCACAACCTTATGTTTGCCAGGCAGGCACTTATGCCACTGAGCTAAATCTCGAGCCCTAGACAGTACCTTATTATTAACAACTGTCATAATCACTGTACTGTGCCATAGACCACTAGCACTTGATCCTCCTAATTTTAACATAATTTCCATTAGAAATGCACACCCCGTGTTCCCTTTCTCTCAATTCTTCCCAGCCTCTAATAACTAGCACTGTATTTTCAATTTTTATGCTATCAACTCTTTAAAAGATTCTAGTTATTTAATATCTGTTCTTTTGATAGCTTATTTCTTTCTGTGTTGATCCACATAGTTTGTAATTGAAAACTGATATGATTTCATGCTTTGTTATGGCTAAAAAGCATTTCATTGTGTCCATATATCACACTTATTTATCTATTCATAGATATTTATGTTGATTCCATATCTTGGCTATCATGAACAGTACTTTAAGAAATGTGGGACCAGAGATTTCTTATCTACTTTCTGATTTCATTTCCTTTGCATATATAACTGACAGTAGAATTTTAGAATCATATTTTTTTTATTTTGATTCTTCACAATGGATATACTGATATACATTCCCCCAAAAAATACATCAGGGTTTCCCTTAGTCCACAACTTTTCTAGCATTTGTATTTTGTTGTTTTTGTTTTAGGGGAAGGGGCTTGTTAATAACAGCCAATCTAACTGGAAGGAGGTAAAATTTCACTGAGGTTTTGCATTGCATTTCCCCTGATAGTTAATGATGGCAAACATTTTTTCACAAAACTGTTAGCCATTTGCCCATCTTCACTGGAGAAATGTCTATTCAAATTTTTTTTCCCATCTTCACCAGAGAAATGTCTACTCAAATTTTTATAAGTATCTCCCTTGTAAAATACACTGGGCATCTTGATATATGTTCACTGAGGGTTTTTGAATATATTTCTAAATGAGCTCATCACTTATATATCTTTTACACTAAAAAATGTGAATTTGTATTTCAAAGTCAAATTTAGCATCATTTCAATTATTGATTCCTTAAATATTTATCAGACATCCCCTCTGGCTTGTATTATATTTACCAGAAGGATACAGTCATGAAATAGAACAGATGTCAGAAAACATGTTGAAAACTAGTATATAGATTACAGTGTGCAGAACGTAATGGCTCAGTACTCAAACTACTCAATTCTTCCCTCTAGTATGAAAGATGAAAGCAGTTACAGAAAACATACACAGAATTAGTGTGACTATCTTCCTAAAACCTGTATAAACAAAAGTAGGTGTTGAGTCAAAGTGGGAGGACTTATAGCTCCTGCCTTCAAAATGTACTATAATGCTATGGTAATATTTGAAATGGCAAATGCATAATGTCAGTGAAATAAAAGAGAGTCCAGAGATAAATACATAGGTCTATGGTCAGGTTTCAAGAAGTGCATCAAGACAATTCAATTGAGAAAGAACTTTCAACAAATGGCATGGATAAATTGAATATTCACATAGAAAACAATAAATCTGAGACTTTCACTCATAACATTTTCAAACATTAATTTTAAATGGTTCAATACTTAAATATATGGGGTAAAACTATCTATTTTCACAGAGGAAAATATGGTATAAATATCCATGACTTTATAGTAGGAAATATTGTGATACATAAATTCAGAGGCAACCAAAAGGGGGAAAAATGAACTTCATCAAAATTGAAACTTCTGTGCCTCAAAAGATATAGTCAAGAAAATAAAGAGACAACTGAGAATGAAAGAAAACATTTGCAAGTCATATGTCTGATAAAGCTTTAGCACATACAGCATTGAAAAAGATGAGTAGAAATTTTCCCTAGAAAGACATATCAATGGCCAATAAAAGCACCTGGAAAAATGCTCAATATCTGTTGTCAATAGAGAACGTACAAGTCAAAGTCACAAGGGAATACAATTTTGTACCCACAAGGACAGTTAAAGTAAAAAAAAAAAAATCACAAGCAATAGGTGTTGATGAGGACGTGGGGAAATTAGAAGCCTCACGGATTGCTGATATGAGTGTAAAATGGTGCAATTATTGTGAAAAGCTTTTTAGTGAGTCCTCAGATAGTTAAACACAGAGTTACTGTATGAACCAGCAATCTATTTCTCAGAGGTGAAATTCAAAAAGAAAAAAAAGTACTTTTTATATAAAAAGCATATATATATATACATATTTATATATAACATATATACAAATATTATACATAAATCTTCATAGCAACATCAGCTCTAATATCCAAAAGTGGAAAAAAACAATATTCATACAACTGAGCATGGATTAATAAAACACCATTTATCCCCACAATGGAATATGATTTAGTAGTAAAAAACAATGAATTACACATACATTGTATAACACAATTAAACTCAATGGATAATAAATGGAAAAATGCAACTATGTAAGACCACACATCATATTATTCCAATTATATGAAATGTCCAAAAATAGAAGAATGTACAGAATAAACTAGAGGTTACTGAGACTATTTGTTTCTGTTTTGAAGTGATGAAAATGCTCAGGAAGTAAGCAACTATGACGTTGAGCCACCTTGTAAAATGCACTAAAAGCCAAAGAATCATGCACCTTACAAGAGAACACATTGTGCTTTATGATATGCAAATTTTCAGGGAAGGAACAGAAAGACAAAGAATAGGGAAGAGAGAAGGAAAGAAAGAAGAAGAAAAGAAAGAAAGAGAAGGAAGGGAGGAAAGTAAGTAGGATGTGGGTAGATTTGGTGCGCAGCCTGCAGATTTCTCACTCCTTAATTAGAAAGACACATCCCGGTTCTCTGACTGTGTGTGCCTTTGAGGACAACACACAGTGTAAGATCTCACTATGATGTAATGTGGAAAGCGATGGGAGATGACAACGAATGGGAAGGATGTGTGATCCGTTTATAGGAAGTCCTTGATGAATTTGCAGAAGATGGGGTTCCAAAATGAGGGGAGACAAAATGAGCACAGTATAGCAAGTTGAAAATTCAGAGTGAAACTATAAGGAAGAGCACGCATATGGCAGGACTAGAAGAAAGGAGAATGCTCCTGAGAATGGTACTGAATGGCTGTGAAGATCCCCTCACTAAATAAAACAATCTAGATTATTTTGGATGTGACAGGTAACAAGGAACAATTCTATCATCCATTGGGGATTGTTTTCAGTGGAGGTACTAGGTGCCATTTACACGTATATTTTATAATGGCCGCTCTGGTTACAGGGCTGATAATAAAAAACTAGCTGAAATACAGGATGCAGGAAAGGCATAACGGGGTACAGGAAGGGAAACAGAAAAGAAAGGAATTAGGAAGCAGCCACAGAGGGAAAACTGTGGTAGAATCTGATCTGGGGAAGAGATTTCTGACAACTGTACATTTGCACCTTATAACTTTTTTCAGACACTTTCCCATTATTGCCTCATCTCCTTCAGTAGTTCTTAGCTGAGGTCAGGGATGAGAGTGTACAAGTAGGATTCTGCATCACTCTTCTTTTTTTCACATTTTTTTCTAATTTTATTAGTACATTTCAGATATACGTAGCGATAACATTCATCATAGGGAATTTGTACCTGTACAAGGTATAACCTGCTTCCTCATTTCTTCCAGTTCCCCTCCCCTGTCTTCAACCTCTCATCTATTTCTTATTTGCAAAAGCATTGTTTCCATTTTCTTCTTTTTTTATCCTTTCCTTCCTTTCCCCCTTTCTTTCTCCTTTGTTCCCCTTCTCATTTTAATACTTTCTTTCCATTTCCAAATATCTATTATGCTCTTCTAAGCAGCAACAATAGATTCATAATAATGCAAACATTCAAAATGTGTTTACCTTCTCCTATCATTTCCAAGTACTCATCAGCAGGAAGATCTTCCCTCCCTATCCTGAAGCCCTCAGATTGTGACATGCAGGGAAAGTGACTTCATTTTGCAGAACCACAATCTCTTCATTTAAAAAATAATTCATGCAATCATAAAGTTGAAGGGTAAATTAGATCATGTCTAACTTAGCTAGTAAAGTAACTGGAGCACAGGAAGTCATTCAATTATTTATACTTACACTAATTATTTCATAATGATTATTTATACTTGAGTGAAGTCCTTAAGGCAGACAGGCTCAGCTAATAGTTACATCACCTAGGATTACCTTGGGAAATCAGCTCCAGAGAAAAATTACCTTTCTGCAGAGACTTATTCAAGCTACATAAGTAGCAGAGGTAAGTGGACCTCATGTCCTGCTGAAATTTCATTGAACCTGATAAACTTGGATGTTTTCTGAAAGAGAATGATGTGGTCCCAGGGGACTTTCCCCAAACCTCTCACCTCCAAAATTTTCCTTCGAACCTCTCACAGTTAATTGGCCTGTACCTTATCGGGCTGTTGGCTGCATCAGGATCTTTGGCATGCACTCTCCCAACCACAGTGCCAGGCGCTGCATTTTCTTGGACTTCGTGGATATAACTTGGAGCCAAGAACATGGGGGGCTCGTCAACATCTTCCACATCAATCTTGACTGTGACGGTGTCCTTGAAAGGTCCATTGCTGATGAACTTTGGGTCGAAGTGCACATTGGCAGCCTCTACTTTCAAATTATATGCTCTTTTGGTTTCAAAATCCACAGACTGCAAGAATGGAGAGAAGATTGACAACCAATTCCTTGAAAGATAATGGAAGAGAAAGACTCGATTGTTTTATAGGACAAAGTAAATACTTCCTCAAAGCGAGAAAATCAGTATTCAATATCCAACTACCTGAGCCAGTTGGTCAGAAAATCAGATGAATCAATTCCTGAAATGTGGAATATGCTTAATAGGTAATTCAAGGACCAGGACTGATACAGAGCCTGTACATCCTGTGAAAGGGATCCTCTTCTATACAGTTACACAAAGGTTTCCCTAGTCAGTTTCTAAAAGCCATCGGAAAGGGGAAACAAAACAGTATCAAAAATTTTAGCTGATTTTTTAAAGTATTAAGACCTTGTTAAAGAAATTGCCCACTCAGAGAACAAAAGTGTGTCTTGTTGATGACTGCCTTCCCCTCCCACATCAACACGCAACTCATATACCTCAGTCACAGGGATAGCCTCACTTTGAAGTTTCTGAGTACACTGCATTTTACAAAGTCTAAAATGTTTACCTGTTGTACCCATAAAATCATTTTGGGCAATTTAAGGGTAATTTTGATAAAAAGGACTGTTAAATAATACTCACTTACTTATTGGCATAATTAGTGTATTTCCAGTTCTCTAAATTCACAGCATCTTGGGATAGCACTGCTTTTTAATATATAGGTTATGCTCCTCAGTAACTGTTTTGGGAAACTAAAACACTACACTTTAGCTAAAATGGAATGGCAGATTTGTTTTGATTGAATTCATGGATAGGTTATCTTCCATTACAGGTAAGTGATAAAACAGTGAAAATAATCCTTTATTTTATTTTCTCTTATTTTATTTTGTACGGGGAATCAAACATAGGATCTTGTGTTTGAGAGGCAGGCACTGTGCTGCGGAGCTATATCCCAGGTCCAAACCTTTGTTTTAGAAACAGTAAAAAAAAAAAAAAAAAAAAAAAAAGTATCTGAAGTAAAACAAGAATTATCGGTAGAGATTTTTATGGAGATATAGAATAAAACAGAGAAACAGTATTTAAATGGCTGAGGTATAGGAACACTGAGGGTAAACACACCTTAATTTTGAGTTAGAGAAAGTACAATCAATCCGTCAGCAAAAGGTAAAAGTAAAATAATTAGCAAAGTAATGAACCCTAAAGTCTAAGAAAAAGTTTCTAATTATCACTCTGGATGATTCTGGATTGCCAAGTGTTTGGAAAAACTTTTGTCTTAAGGCAGCATGTGCTTGACACACTGTTTTCCTCTGCCTGACAAACACTTCTTTGGAATGGACATAAGGTGGAGGGGCTTAGTCCTGCGTTAATTCTGCACAAATCCAAGTCAAGGAGGACTCTAGTTTCACAAGAGGTAAACGTATTCAATCAGACTGCCATGTCCATCTGCCCCAGTCAGGGAACACTCCCCTTTGTCAGAGTTAAATCTACCTCCAGCCTGTTCATCATCCTTTGGGAGACCCAGGAGCCCCTTTGTCACTGGCTACATTAAGGGTAGTGGAAAGAGATATTTGTAGGCTAATGGTATAACATTGCTGCACTCTCTGTAATTACTGGTTAAAAAAAAAAAAAGGGCATAAGATAGTTCCAAGTCTCGGTAATTTTTCATCAGGAATGATGAAGTTTTTCAGTGTTTTGATGCCCCTATAACAAATCTTTTTGCAATTGATGTTAAAATATGCCTAAAAGTCCAGACTTACATTTTATTCTGGAAAGCTCTATGAGTGCTGAGTATAATAAAGTCATGCTGCTCTCTTACAGACAGATTTCATTTAGATCATCCCAAGCTAGGGTCTTCAGTGTGTTTTCCCAATCTGGTGAGATTCTTCTCCGTCTTCTGGCAGTTCACTCAAGTCTCACGACCTTGAGCAGTCTGCTCAGTAAGCCCAGGCTGATTGGTATGGCCTCTGATCTAGCCTCTGCATCCCTCATTTCCCTTCCATGGTAGATTAGAAGCATGCCAACGAGCTCTATTGAGTTGATCTTTGCAGATTTTTCCTCTCTAATGCCCCAGAATTACTGCATCAGTACAAAAGTCTATGCATCAATCATTTTGACTGAGTAAAGAGCAGGACTGATGGATGGATAACATTTTAGCATTTATTTACAATTTATTCTCATCCTCCTTCCAAAAACTATCTGAGGTAGCTTCCCATGTGAACATTTATATCCATGTTATGAGTAGTTGAAATAAAGCTAAATGAGGCAACATATTGCATAAGCAATCAAAATCTTAATACCCCCTCGTTCATTAATCTCCACCTCTGAAAATTCTCCCTGAGGGATTAATTCAACAGAAAACCAAAACAAACAATATTCACAAATGCACAATATTTGTTAGATATAGTAGAGGGTTATATCTAATCTGGGGAAATATGCACATGAAACATCAAACCCAACTGTGAGATTTTATTAAGGAAATAATGGTCCATGCATAGGATAGGACATTATTGAGTCATTAAAAATGATTATGTATGTTATATAACAGCATGTAAAATGTTTGAAATGTGTCATTGTTAACAAATCAGATCACCCTATGATTGCCACCGTGCTAAATGTTATGTATCCACATCTATATACATGTGAACAATGAATATAAAGAAAAAATTAGGCATAAAAATAGTTTTATTAACATAGAGAATATTTAAAGTGCCTCATAATGCTGCTCTAACATTGCTTCACAAGTTTATTAGGCTGAAAATAAACAGTTCAGAAACTATGCTGGAATTTCTCTGTAATAAATGAGATTCCTACTTGGTCAAGGGTGTTACAATGAACAGATTGGATTTTCCTCCCTTTGTCTACCAAAACACCTTAAAGCTTATCTGTATTTAATACTATTCTTCAGCTAACCACATTGAGACTGACTAAATCCCTGAGGGAAGGTTATCCTTCTTCACTATTAAATCCAGATATACAGCCCAAATTCTATTAACATGTATTGTCTTTTAAGTGACTAAAAAAAAAAAAAAAAGATGAATCTATCCACTGGTTAATTCTTCTCTTCTCTTTTACTACCATTCCATTACCTCTTCTGCCTTCTTGGGCTCTTTGTAATATATCTCTTGAATTCAGCACCACTTTCTCAACTGGCCCTACTCTGTAAAGATTAAATGTATTGCAATCTTCTAAACATGACTTTTTTCACGGGTTCTAGTTCTTCATGAGTTCATTTTTTTCCCTGCCTTTTCTCTCTTTGTCTATGGGGGAAAGTGTTGCTCAACTACCAATACTGAACTCAAGGACTCCTCTTACAAATCATTCTTGACCCATATCACAGTTTTTGTAGTTGTTTTTCTGCTGAGGAGTGCTTGATCCATTCACTCCAAGGATATTCGGCAATGTCTAGGGTTGTGTTTTGTGACAAAACTGTTGAGGTTAGGTTGAGTGAGTGCCTATGGACCTCCCAAGAGGAAGAGCCTGAATACAGTCAACCATCCTGCAATGCACACAACAAGCCCTACAACAAAAAATCACCCAGCTCAAAATATCAACATTATCAAGTCTGGAGGGTGGCGTTGAAACTCTATTGAATTCTCATTTTCCTATGAGCTATTCTATAAAACTGTGACATCCTTATGACCAGAACTCTTTCCACTTTGGATCTCCAAATTTTACTGTACCAAGGTCTCACCTGACAAATAATAACTCAATAGTTCTTCGTGGGAAAAATAGATAAATTAATAAATGAGAGAAAGTATCATGTTAAATAATGTTCTTGAAATACAAAATATTGTATGATCTCTCCAGATCCTTTTATATTATTAACTTGTATGTAATGACTTCCACAAGGACTCATATTTGTACTTTGTAAAATCTACCTTTAATTCTTTGCCCTTCCAGTGGACAATTAGAACTTTATGCTATCAGTGTAAATAAATGTTCTTTTGCAAATGAAATGACATCTTACATTTGAACCTGAATGTGTGTGCTATTTAGAAGACTGTTCCACTGCTTATAATAAATATACTCATTTGGGGGAAAGTACACAAGTTAATCACATGCAGGTAACTCATTTGCCATGTGTGAGTTCCATGAAGGTGATTTAAATCTCTCAGGACTTTAAAGTCACAGTGTGCAATATAGTGGCCCAAATACACTGAAAATACGTGAAACCTTAACATAATCAACTACCTAATTACTCCAGCGACAAATGAGAGGCAGGAATTGCTGCTGTTGATATTAATATGCCAGTGCCAAGCTAAGGGGATAGTAATGTGAAATAACACAGGAACTTGACAGCTTGAGGGTGCATAAAATCCCCACAACTACTTTTCCAGAGGAAAAATCAAAGGAAATCAGTACGTCAGCCCCATGTGGCAGAAAATCTGGCCTACTCTGTCATATCATGTATGATATAGTGGTAAGTATCCAAAGTCACTCCAAATTCTAAACATTTCATTTTCTTTGTTCTTCATGACAGTCCTAAAGACAGTCGCCTTCTCTTTGCTGTGTTGTCTAAATATTCTTTCCAAACCTAACAGCTTTAAATGTTTTAAAGTCAGTTGAGTGGAGCACATCCCTTCTTGCCTCTCTCCTGAAAGTTTCCCCCAAGGCTCAATCTTCCCCCTTCTACTCTCGTCTATTCTTCAACTACTGGTCTTTTTATTGATTTTTCAAATCACTTTTTCATCAGTATTACTGCCCAATCTTTCCCATAACCTCAAGAAACTTAGTATTCATGTTACAAAACTAAGTATAAAACAAAAATGCTTGATTAAAACCAGTATAATCTTGTCATCCAGTTCAGATTTAATGCTCCATACACTTTGAGGATGGAGAAGTGTTGATTCCTAAGAAGTAAATACAAGAGATACGCTTTAGAATATATTGTAACTGATTCTTCAATTGAAAGTGAAATCATAACTTACTTCTCTTTATTAGCTCTTTCTGGCTCAGTTATTTCCAAAACATATTAAGAAGGAAGATGTTACAAGATATGCTAGGTGTGAATTTCATGTCTGTCACTGTGGTTAGGTCAAATATTTAATACTTCTGGGCCCCAGTCTCAAAATTAAGTTGAAAATATCACTGTTCATTAGACAATGCTATTTATTTTAGATGAGAATTTGTATGTTAAACATAAATGAAATGTTTATAAGAGACTCAGGCTGTAATACTGAATAGATGCTACATTTATTTTTACAAAGAAACAAAACCAGGAAGAAACAATGTGCTTTTCTTTGTAGTAAATTCGTCTTTCTAACGAGGATCTAGCTGACTACAAGGACAGGCTAATTATTCTGGCTTCTCTCTTTGCAATTTAGAAAGCTAAGCAAGAAAGGGATTTATTTAAATTTCACAGAGGATCCACCAGTGAAGTGAACCTGGGGTGTTTGAAATGAGAGAAGTTCTGAGCACCTTATATCAAAAGTTTTTATGGGTGCAGCTAAAGGAACTTAGAGCTGCTTCTCTAAAGTCTATGTTTCTCTAACCGCTTTTGCTTCTATAGAAGTGTGCCAAAACATAGGAGGACAAAGCAGCCATCTCAGGCAGAAAGAATCAGCCCTCTTGCTCAGGTTCCTCTGCAGTAACAGAAGGAAATATAGTTCTGTTGTCTCTATAGAGCTCCATGATCATTCATACAGTGAGGTCAGGCCCCACCCACCCAATTCTCTATCTGTCTCCTTTGACTCTGTTGCCTGTAGTGTTGCCTTGGCAGAGAACCCCACACATAAGCGAACCCATTCTTCACCCTAACTCACCTTTTTCAGCTTCACCACACCCTCCTGTGTTTCATAGTCTGTTGTGATTTCAAACAATTCCATACCATCTCCATCAACAATATTGTACATGACTAATCCATTTTCTCCAATGTCTGGGTCTTTAGCTTTCATTCTTCCTACTTCCTCACCAGGGACAGCAGCTTCTGACACAGACATCTGGTACACGCCTAGAAGAAGAAGAAGAAGAAGAAGAAGAAGAAGAAGAAGAAGAAGAAGAAGAAGAAGAAGAAAGAAGAAGACATTTCCTTTTATTTTCCTTTTTATTTGGCAGCTCTCAGACATCAAATTGCATTGAATCCCAATAAATTTCTCAAAGGGTTTGAAATTGAACTTTCTATCAATTGAAAACATGAAAGAACAAAATGGATTGAAGGAATGTCTAGATGGCCTGCTTGCCAAAAGAATGCACTTTATAAAGGGTGATGAAACAATAGATGAAATGTTGGGGTCACCTGCCAGAAGTGAGGAAAGCAAACAATGTTCAGTTACACTTCTTGAAAGAATGGCGGAGATCACATATATTGTCACATTGTCCAATAGTTGATTCTTCTTTTCATGTCTGCAGAATGGCCCATGAAATTAATGTGAGGAATTTACAGCATAGCCTAATGTCCAGGAGAAACAAAACAGAGCAAAACTAAACTAAACTAAACTAAAACAAGATACTTTGTTTAAAAGCCTCAGTGGCCTTGTTTTTTTTTTTTTTTTTTAACCTTTTTTTTTTTTTTTTTTTTTTTTTGAGACAGGATTTCACTATGAGCTCACTTTGTAGCCCTGGTTGGTCTTGAACTTACAAGGATCCTCCTGCCTCAGTCTCCTGAGTGCTAGGATTACAGGCATGTGCCACCATGCCCAACTGCCACGTCTATATTTTAATCAAATGCAAACTTTATCTTTGAAAATATTTCCTCTTATATACATAGTTCTCCTCTGTCTTCACATCCTGTACCACTATTCCAAGCAGGACATTCTCTGGAAAGATTTCTTAAAGTGTGATTCCTCCACATTTATACGAATTTAGTATTTCTTGGAAACGTGTGTGCCGGATACTCTCATGTACCTACAAACTCAGTAGTAGGAAAAACAGTTATCATTTTGTCTTGAATGAGTGGTACTAAAAAAATAAAATAAAACACAGATACATTCATATTGTTATCACTGCTAGGCAACTGAGACAGGAAACTAATGAAAAAGACCTAAGGGGTAGAGGGAAATGAACACGCGTGTGGTTGTGTGTATGATTGTGAATGAGTATGAGGGTGTAAATGGAAACAGACGAGTTGTATTTGTGGGTGTGGAAGTGAGTGAGCGATTATATGTGTGGAGTAGGTAGCACATGAGTGAGTGCACAACTGAATGCATTATGTATATATTTGTGTCAGATTATTTCTGTATGTGAATGAATGTAAGCCAATGTGAATGCTGTGCTAACTACGTGAGGCAAAGAGAGATTCATTTTGAGCAAGGTAGACATGGAACATTTGCTGGAATAAATAGTATCTTAAGGACACTAAAGAAATTGAGCAGAAAAAAACCTGGGGAGGCAAATGTCTAAGAAATAAACATTACAGGTCCAGGGAGAGCTAATGGCAATAATCTAAATTTGGGGACATCTTCGATATGTACAAATGTCACAATAGGACAATTGTTGCAAATGAGTCTGCTGTTAATAGAGAAGAATGCCCAGGTAGGCTGGGGCTCAGCTGGAGGAAAAAGAGAGATCATTCTAGGAAACGGAGGAGACTTGAAGTTTTGTTTAAGTTTAGGAAGCCACTGGATGGTTTCCAGTGGGGCTGTGAGATTTGACACCAACCTATTTGCATCTTCACATATTCTGTGTGAGGGAAAAAATATAAGCCAAGTCAGCGGACTTGCTATCTACCTCTTTGTGCTTTGGCTTCCTTTGACACAGATCTTATCAGTTACAGTATTCTATTTATATGTTCAGTTTGGATTTATATTCAATTTAACCTCATATGCCTTTCATCTTGGTGTGGTGGGAGGATAATTACAAATGTACAGGAAAGAATTTAAAAACCTACTATAAGATGATTTTCTCCAAATCACATTCAAGTTTATACAGTGAGCCTCGTACAACTGGGGACAGTAATAATATAGCTTAACTATATGACTCTCAATGAGTGAAAGCACTAATAATAACTCAGTAATCCTGCTTGATGTATTCATCCCAGCTCACCTAACAATTGTACAGTGCATACAATAGAAATCGCAGCTTTTAGAACATTGCATGACCCTTAATCTTTCTTGGAATCTTGAACCTGGTACCTGGAGAGGAAAGCATCTATCATGGGACACTAAAAGAGCGGAGAGGCCCCTCCTTGACTTCTCCCTTATTTTTTCCCTTTTGTAGATCGTCCTCTTTGAATTTCTCGGAATAATTGTAACACCTTCCTGAGACCATTTTTCATGACTTCCCCTGTTCTCTCATTTGCGATACACTCACGGTCTCCAGTGAAAGAGAGCTTTTCACAATGGAAGTCCTCCAGGACTAATGGCACCATATCTTTGTATTCAGCTCTACATACATGAATAGATTCGTGTTCAGATTCTGGCTTGGCCATGTTCCTTTGGCCACATTCCTTTAGCCAAGTTCTTCTGGACTTTATAGAAGCCTGGTTTATCTTTAAAATGTACATGTAGACTTTTATAAAGATTTACAGAGTTAGTGATTGGACATTAAATGATGACACAGGTATCTGTATTTTAAATTACTTATTCCATTTAATATCATTTAAAAAAAATCCTTAGCAATTGTATAAATTTTGTAGACCCCAAGTAACAATGGCTAACATTTGTTGAAAATTTATCTTAGGTGTTATTACAAGGCTTTACACTAACTTTTTTTACACCTAGCAATAATTCTATTAATTAAGCAGGGTGGAGGATTTCATTTTTCAAAACCAAATAAATCGTTATGGGTCATACCACATGCTTTTCTTTCAAGATAATTTTGAGGGACTTTGCTTAAATTCTGGCATTCTTACACCAACACTGAAAAGGAAGTTATATGACTGGGGAGGTTGGTTCTGGAAAAACAAAACTATTTCTACCTAGTGCTCTCGCGGTTCTCACTGTCAGACACAGGCGTGGAGAGACCCACAAGCAGAGGAACCAGTTGCGCATACAAACTAGCTGACCATGTAAGTAAAAATTCCTGGAAGTCAATTGTCCATCCCTAGCAGAGATATCCCCTGCTGATGCTGTGAGAAAGCAAGAAAAACTATCACCTCCAAACTTTGCACTCAAGGCAAAAACAAATGATTATTATTTTAAAACACTCTTGAACAGTTTGCTACACAGCAAAAAAAAAAAAAAAAAAAAAAAACTGATTGAAGTACTGTTATAACCAGGTTATTAACAAAAACAGAGAAAAGTTGAGACTAGATCACACTACTAGTACCCAGTAAATAAAATACCTCGCAAAATCGATTTTCTGTTTCCAAGATCAAAACTTTTAATGTCTTCCATTTTGCTCACTGTCTTTACACCATGTCAGTTGTATTATTACCATTTTTCTTTTTTTGCAAAAATGATATAATTATCTCTTAGTTTTGTAGGTTGTCTTTTGGAAAGCTGAATAAGGCAGGAAAGGGCAAGAGATGATGGGGTGCTGGCTGTGGCAGGGCAGAGTGGTGAAATCTAAGCCCACCTACTTACTCTGAGGAAACTTTGGTGGGTTGTCATTGACATCAGTCAGGGTGATCATCACTTTGGTTGTTCCTGAGAGTCCACCCATGTGTCCGCCCATATCCTTGGCCTGGATCACTACATGGTATTCCTCCTTGGCTTCTCTGTCCATGTTGGGGAGGGCTGTTCTGATGATACCTGGACGGAGAGCAAGAAACATGACAATCATTTATAACAGAGTACAACAGCTACATGTGTGGGACACATTGTAGGTAAAGATTAATAAAGCACCTCAGGTCCTCAAATAAAATTTTAGTACAGTAAATTTTACCATAAGCAACCATTCCTGAAGCGTCCTTGTTTCATTCAAGCAAGTCATAAAATTACTTACAGAGCATTACTATTGTTTTATTTCTCTTTACATGCAGGAAATAACCTCAGGCATTAGTATCCTGCAGAATGAAATATTTGAATGTCCACTATGTGGATATCTGTAAGTAAAACTATATTTTCGACTACTAGTAAAATCTTTTGTAAATCTATTTCCACATGCAATTTTTGCAAACATTTTTATACTCTGCATTACATTTAAATTAAGAGGCACATATTTCATGCAATACATTAAAATGCTAGTATTACTTTTTGGAAGATTGAACCAAATGGGTTAGAATTATGCACAATGCTTATGCAAATATTTACTGTCTAAAATCACCTGCCACTGACAACAGTGGTAAATTAATAATTGAATTCTTTGTGATCCCTGATTACAGAAACATGATTTTAATGAATACTCTGGTCACCTAAATCTCCAGCAGATTTACGGATGCTTTTCTTCACTGTAATTAAGGTATCACTTGAACTAGAAATTTAAAAACAACACTGAGGAAGATTTAGCATCCCATGATGTTGATGTGTTTCCGTGAAGAACCCTGCGACTCAGTGGCCCTTATTTCCCTTATTTGTTAAGTAATTTGGTAGATTCAAATTGGTAGTTATTAGCCAAGAATTCTTAAGATAAAAGGTGGAGGGTATTTTTTTTTTTTAAATCTCAACTGTCTAGATGAAGTTCATGCTTTTCTAGATTAAACTGTAAAAGTTAAAGAAATGTCTTTGATACAATCATAGCAAGTAACTCCGTAAGTTACACTCCGAAACATTTCAGCTACAAATAAATGAATATGCAAGTAAATTGAAATTATATTAAGTAAAAGGACAAAATATTCAATTGATAGGTTAAGTGTATGCATAAGTACACACATATGCTATAAATTTTAATCATAATAAGTGAAGAATATTTGTCCTGATCTTTCAAAAAGATGAGACATATGGTGAAGAGGAAAAGGTCCCTGAGAAATATTGAAGATGAGCAGTTTCATAGAATTTTAGTCTTTATTCTAGAGAGTTAAATTCGGTATAAATTATGTGAAATATTTTGGGCTTTGGTTTTGGTTGTACACTTATATACTTCTTGGGTTTACTCTTTGTTTTCCATAAGAAATGCACAGAACCTCCTCTCTGTGTGATGTTGTCCACTGAGAAGCTATGAGTACAAGAAGAGAGACTGGGAAAGTGCCACCTTAAATCAATGTGAATATCAGCATACACCTCTGCCACCCCCAGTCTTGAAGAGTGATCTTTGGAGCATAATTTGACAGCTGCTTGCCTTTATACCAGGCTCCAATTCCTATGGTCTCTTAACTTGGATCCACAGATCAAGACTTTTTTGAATTTAATAATATTAAATTTAAAGATTCTTTGTTATTGCTACATTGTGAAATATGGGCAGAAGCAATAATAAACATGTTTCGCTGCATGCTAGCTATACACCAGGACATGTATCCAGTGCTGAATCTACACATTAATCTACTTAGGTGGCTTTTGTTGGTCCTTTTTTATTTATTTGGGGAAACTGAGATTTAGGTAGGTTCACTGAGCAAGCATGGACTCTAATCTGCAGTCTGTCCTAAGTCACAGTGGTGGCAGCATTCCACAGTACCTGTCTGCGCCTCCACTGAGAAGTAAGGCTGTCCTTCAAGGATGCTGTACACTAACTTGGCGCTGTTCCCATAGGTGGGGTCATCTGCATCAGAAGCTGTCACCTGAATCACCGATGTTCCTTAGAAGGAGAATAAATTGATTAGTACCATATCTTCGATTTTCAGAATAATTATTATTTATAAAGCTTCATTATAAATTAAATCCAGAAAATAATCCCAACATATTCTTATTTTCCTTGAATCTTCCTTTCTTTTATTCCCTTTCCTTCATTTTACTTGTTAATTCTCACTCACGGTGTAAAACTAAACTTTCTATATTTGCAGTACACCCTGCTATGCCTAGTAGTTTGAATGATGATGTGATTGTTATTGCCAAATAGTCTGAGACCCATGCCATTGAAATGCTGAGTTTATCACACAATTAAATAAAAATCTTCCCAAAGAGTATAATAAATGATAATTAATGATGAATTGCTTTTCAAGAAAAGACAGAGTGCAATCCCCCATCAGTAGCAGAACAATAAATATATCATTTTATTGTTGCTTTGCATGCCATAAAATTGTTCCTAATACATTTTAATTAATTTATGGGTTTAAATATTGTGCAGAATGTCGTTTCCTACTGGCATGAAAATTGCATTTTCCTACCTCTAATAGGTCTGGTATCCATGAAACAGGAATTACCAGTTGATACCTGGTGAGAACTAAGGCAAACCTCTGTGAACCAAAATTTCAGGAAACCTAGTAATTGGAGGAATATGCAATTCTGGTTTTTTTTTTTTTGTTTGTTTCTTTAAAAATCCCTTCTGTTCCTTGCTGGTTACAACTGACAAGTATCCAGAACATGGAACCTGGAACATTGGTTTTCAGAGTGAAAAAAGAGTTAGAAGTAAAGATTGGGCAATTACACGGTTTCTCTGTTCAAGGCATTAATTGGGATGCACTCCATGTATGGAGCCCAGCATTATGTTTTTACTATTATGAATTTAGTAGCATGTTTGCCAGTATTTTCTACCAGTTGGTATTTCACATCCATTTATGTGGGGGAAATTTGGTGTGAGATGTACAACATTAGACAATCTCTTTCCCAAAGATGTTTATTTCCAAAGTTAGCAATTTAAACCAAACATGCAAGCAATGAATTCAAGTTTTTCTGTGAAATTTTCTACAGAGAGGCAAGGTTCCATGTGGGAGGCAAGGTGGTCCACTTACACAGCTTCTAACTACCCTTTACAGGGTTGTCAGAACATTTGTGGGGGGTACACAAGCAAATCTCTTTTCAAATTAGTGTTCTGTAATTCACGGTTTCATACAAATGACACTTTTTGAACTCTTCCCACAAGCCAAGCAATATGCTAGGCAACAGAGATTTATAAAGGAGAATACCACTGTGGTACAATAGGGACATTACTAGTCTTATGCTTAATTTACTCCTAAATCTCTAGATGCGTTACAAATCTTTGTGTTTTGCATGTGTTTTTTAGCGATCCTCATAGTGTATGCTAGCCTGTTTTTCTAGATGACAAAATGAAAATGTAGAAAGTTACACGAAGAGGTCCATGTCTACATGACTGGTTAAAGGTAAAGCAATGAGTCAGTGCTGATACTGTCAACACTACAGACTGTACTGTACTTTCCTGGTCCATAATAGAGAGCCTGAGTACTGTTCGTCAGCATCAAAGAACCCCCAGAGTGAGAACAGTGATGGTTCCCAACAGGGTGTCCTTTATGATGACTGGTTTCCCAAACTGACCCTCCACCCCAGTGTTCAGTTCCTGGCACTACTGGCCTCATTTATTCAGATTTATTTGATACCTGTTGTCGCTCATGAGAATCTACGTGTGCATATGCATAAAGTAAAGGACAGGTAGGAAAAGGAAAAAGGAAGCAACTTGGAAACAACTCAGCCTGACTTTCACAGAATGTGAGAACTCTAAGAAGACACCACGTTCTGACACAGGGAAAGTACACGCAGAAGAGAAGGCCATAGCTAGCTTTCCTGAGCAGCCTTCTCATAGGCAGTGTTTACTTGTCTCATTTGTAGAATGGGTTACTTTTTCTCTGGTGAGTCTTAAATTAATTTGAGCTCATCTGATCAGATTCATTCCCTGATCACTGTGTGAAAGGCAAATGTCTTTCAATGAGGCACACTCCTCAAAAGACCACCGTGCGTTCTAGAAACTCCAATGAAAGATTTTGCCTGGATAAAGGGATGAGTTAAGGAAAGCCTTCACAAACTAATATTTGCACAATGTAGTGTGTCTTCCAGTACACACTACATACCTAATTCTCAATTAATAGGTGAGGGCATAGTGGTGTACATATGTGTGCATTCTAGATCACTTAGAAGCAAAGATTACCCGGGAAAAATTAGAAAATTTGTTTCTGTCTTGAGATGCCATCTGTAAAATATGGCCTATTAGACTTAATCACAGCAAAAATTAAAATTGTGTGTGTGTGTAACCAATTGGCACAATGTCTATCTGTGAGAAATATTACTGTTGCTCTTATTTATCAAGCACCAATATGTGCTACAAGTAGATGCATGTTACTGCTAGTACTACAAAGCCAGGAATTATTATTCTCATTTTATGGAAAAAGAAACAAAGGCTAAGAAAATAGATTTCACTGGTTCCAAGTTATACAGCTAATAATACAAAACTCAGGGTTCCTGAACCCAATCAAATTATTTCTCTTTTTTTCTTCTCTTGTTCTTTTAAATAAGTTCAGACTTAAAATCCTTAAGCCCATTCTAAACATCTGTAATTTCATTTCTCCAAATGAACATTCTTTGCTGCTATAGTGACACTGAAGATAGAGCCTAAGTTCTATTTCCTGATTTGGGAAGACAGGCAGCAGCCCAAGCTCCCGGCAGCCGGGCTGGAAATAGAGCAGATCTTCCCACTTACGCACCCACATTGGACCTTTCAGGCACGTTGGCATAATAGATCTCATGTAGAAACTCCGGTGGGTTGTCATTAATGTCCTGGACCTTGACAATGAATGAGGAAGCCGGCTCCAGCGGTCGGTTCGTTTCCCTGTCCACTGCTTGAGCCATCAGGGTATACTGAGCTTTTTCCTCTCGGTCCAGCGTCTTGGTGGCGTGAATGTTCCCTGATTTGTCATCAATCACAAAAATGGTTCCAGCTCCTTCACCTGAGAGAATGTATTTAATCTTCCCATCAGCAGTGTCAAGATCAGAATGAAGCTAGGGAAAGAGAAATCACGATTTGTTATCTCACCAGGCGGGAAGGCAACACAAACACACACGATGACTGCTGTAGTGTGCACACACACATGCACACACACACACACACACACACGCACACATCTTAATAATTATTCAGAGAAAAACATAAGCATATTTTTAAATCTATACATGAACAATTTATGCAGTGAGTCTTAACTTCCAGTTCTGTCATCCATTCTGTCATTTTGGCTGCTCAGAAGTCACCATTGCTAGGTTCCCTGTGAATCATCTAAGAGACATCCTAGTCCATGCATGGTCTATGGAGCACCTCTCTACAGAACCATATATATGCTAATTTTCATACTAAAAAGCCTTAAAGCACACATCGTTCTACACCTTGCCATTTCTCTTTAACAGTGAATTCAGATGTCCCTTCGGTATTATACATACAGATCTACCTCACCCATAGGCTGTATCTATTTCTTTTAGCAGTCCTCTCTATAGGACACTTGGCTGTTCCCAGGCTTTGTTAATTCCAAACAAATTTAACTGATCACACCTGTCAAAAATTCCAGCTATGCTGCATGCAGGGTCTAAAGATTTGGGGTTGTGATCTTCAAGGAAGAAGGGCTCATTGCAACCTAAAGATAGGGTGTTTGGCATGGGTTCATGGACATGCAATTCCTCAGACCCTGGAAACTTTATATACCCTTATTATTTTCCCCTCTTTGAAAAAGCCTGCAGACAGGATGTACTTCACTGAAGCCACACTTTTCAGGCCCCAGAAACCATTCAGGTCTCTTTACGACTAATCCTATGCTTTTTTGCCTTAACTCTGCTCTGCTTTGGAACACAAAACTCTCCTAGAGACTTTGCCTGATTTTCCTGCAGGAGTGAGTTTCTTACTATCCTCCATGATCCAGTTTCAATTTCTGCAGCTGTCATATTAATCAGACTTCCCCATTATTATCTTTATTGACAACATAAGCAGGTCTTTGACCATTCTCATAGCTTTCTAGAGCAGTCAAGTATAAAAATCCCTCATTTCTACTTGCTACGTAGGGAAACCCATTATAAAATAGACTAAGTAGTTTTATTCAAATAGCAATTAAAATAGTGAAAACAATAATGATTATTATTATTAACTCAATACTAAAATATAATTATGACTGTAATTTTAATTATTACTAAGAACCCAAGTCCTAGCAAGCTAGTTAAGGATTACAAAGCAACATTGGACAAACTACTTTTAAAATTCATGTATTATTACAACTTCCCAAGTGGTATCTAATTGATTTGTGGTGACTCACTGAAACAAATACTTCAGCTTCGAAAGATATATGTATATATAAGTTATACTTATTTATTTACAGTATAGGTTTCCTTTGGGGAAGGAAAACATTTTCATGTTTCACTGTTTATAACAAGTCATGTGTTGTCCTGAAATTGTGACTGTCACATTTCCTAAGAATAAATTCATTTTGAATGAGATATGAAGTTATTCGATGACCTACACTCGATGGACAGAAGTACTCCAGCCTTCATACAGATTTTCTCAATAGAGGCTGGACACTGTACCCCAAATGTAAATCCTTCCCTGAAAGCTTAAGATTAGTTGTCTCAATTCCCTGTTTCAGGTCTCTGTGCAGTTAGAGGTAAGTCCTGTGAATGAGGAGCAACTAATACATGGAAATACTTAGTCACTGAAAGCTTCTGGGAACTTCATCTATTACATATGAATTTGGCTGTCTCATAGGAATTAAACAGATTCATTTCATGGTAAGTCAAATACATGAAAATTCTACAAAATATACTTCGTATTATTTTTACTTCAAGTTTAAAAGTTGAATACAGGGCCATGATATAGCTCAGCAGTATGTTGCTTGCCTGGCAACCATGAGGTTCTAAGTACAATTCTCAGTACCCCACTCCCCAAAAGAAAGCTGAACATAGATTTCTTTTTTTTTTTTTTTCAATCCTTACAAAGATGAACTATATAACTGGCAATGGTGTTTATCAGGTTCCACAAAAACAATGATGTGGGAAGCCATTGTGTGCTCTCAAGAAACCAGGATGCTGGAGCAGGCAGTCAACTCCTGAATCTGGAGGATGGACAGCTTCCTGCTCTGGACAGCACAGCACGAGACAGACTGTATTTGCTATAAGAAACCTGGAATTCTACGCTTTGCCAAATTTTACTTTTCTCAGGGAACCTTAAACTACTCAACCTTAATGTCGACAAAGCAAATGATATTAGAGAACCACCCCAGAACTGTTTCCAAAGGATGACCTACAGATCTGGCCACTTTTCTTTTTCATCCAAGCTAAAGTAAGACTTATTTTCTAATGTCTAACTTGTGACACCATATACTTTGAATGGTTAGGGTTCCCCCTACCCTTTTTTTTCCCCTATGTTTCCTTCTAGTAGGCATGACAATTGCTAGGTCTGCAGAATGACAAAATGGGTCCCCAGCTCCTGTCCTTAGCACCTAGTCATCCTAAAGGCAGACATTACTCCCCAGTAAGAAAGCTTCAAAGCTGAAGCTCTATTTTCTCAGAATAATACATACAAATCCCCAACCATTACAAAGCCACCAGCCTTTTCCCTGACTCAAGGTCTTTGTGTCCTCTCTGAGCATGTAGCCCATCTGCCCAACTTCTCCAATTCTGTCATTTATTCCCCTGCATTTTGGCTTTGCAGGACAGTATCCATATCTTTCAGTTAAGCTATAAATGAATACAATTCCTTTGGTACATCTTTGCAAGAAGATGTGTTTTTAACCCTAAACAGTATTATTAAGGCTATGATGAGCCTTCTCTCAGTGTGTCCACTATATAATTACAGAGTCCTGCTCTCATATTAAGGGAAATTAAGATAAATGTGTTTGAATCCATGGGATCAGAAGTAAGCATATCTAACATCTCTCATCTCATTTCCACCTTTACTGAATGGGTCTTACCCCTCCTTTAGATCACTAGTTATTATTTTGTTCCCCATGAAACCTTCCTTCATGTCTCCTAAATGTTACCATACAAATTCATAATCACGTACAGTGAATTGCATTATCCCCTACTCTCACTTTGTTTTTTCTTTTATGACCGCATAGGTAACTCTTTCTCCCTACATTCTGAGCTATTTTGTCACCATCTGCCTAGTTGTACACCTGAGGGCAGTAGGGTTTCATTTCTTAGTTAATCTCAATATCACCTGAAACATAGTTGTGTGCTTTACCACAAACAATAATGGGAAGGGATTTCCCCAGTGTGCCTTGAACTCTTTATACTTACATAATTTTTGAGCAGGCTACACAAAAATGTTTAATTTGATCAGTGCTAAACATCTGGAGTCATTCTACCAAGGTTTTACCATCCCTAGAGCAAAAAGGATAAATGTACACCCATTCTTATTAGAGAATAAGCCAACTACTAAAGCAAATGGGATAAAAATCACATATATGATGCAATGTATCTTGAGATCTAGTGAGGAAGATAGACAAATAAATATATATTCGTGACACAAAAGAGAACGCTATGACACAAAGAATATCAAAGGCTTTGAGAAGAAAAGGGGGGCATCCATTTGACAGTTAAATTATGGTCTGAAGAAAGCCCCTATGTGGAAAATGATTGAACTATGATCATTCTCATTTCAGACGAATATTAAGCAGCCACTATAAGTGTGTTTTTATGGTATAACATTAATTTGAAAATAGAAACATTCTCAACATTGGTAAGTATATGAATCTGGGATACAATGATTAGAAGGATATATATAGACTCATGTTGGGTCATACTCATGACAGATCAGTGGTGTTTTCCCTGTTAGTTCTCTTCGCTTCTAGTATCCATATGCTACTTCTTCCATGGTGGAGGAACATAGACGGGTACTGAATGAAAGCAACCTTACCCTGCCCACAAGCACGGGGTCAGGCCCGGTGTACTCCTCTATCACGAAGAACTGGTTCCAGACCCAACCTCTCTTAGAGCGCTGCAACACCTGCCCTTCCTTGCCTCTCTCGTGGTGCCCATGGAATGAGGGGTGCAGGTGGCTTCGTTGCTCCAGGGCGAATGCCTGGCTGTGGCACAGCATGCTCAGGCACACCAGGGCGGCTTGTAAATAGTAGTTCTCCTTCATTTTTGGTTATGTGGTAGGCACAAGGGAATACAGCGTCACCCCTTCCACCAACCAAGTGGCAGTCTTTCTGACGATAGCCTCCCGATGTGTCAAGCAGACCTCTCTTTGAACGGAATGTCTTTGCTTTCTGAGCACTTCACATCAGGGATACCCACTTCCCCAGTCAGCTTCTGCAAGCAGAGAGAGAGAGGGAGAGATTTAATTAGCTGCAGGCTTCATCATCACTTCATTACCAGTTAGCAAACATCAGGTGTGAGCAGTAATTTTACCATTTGCCAGGGTTGGATAAGTTGACTTCTTTGAGCTCATCGTGCTCATTTATGAAATGGAGAAAGGAACAGCATTGCAAGCCTAGCACAGTGAATAATGCCTATAAGTCACTCGGCATATTGCCTGGTCCCATAGACTCAGTCTCTAAGAGAACCTTCTGCAGTGATCTTTTACTATAATTGGTCATAACCATGCCTGATTATGTTCTAGAAATAAAGAAATTTGGGCCACTATGGAAGCCCAGGAAAAAACACAGGTCCACCCTGGTGGAGCAGAGGCTAAGTAGTCAGGAGAGATTTCCTAAGGAGGGAGGGAATGACTGTTCTCAGTCCTGAATGGACACCATGCAGAGGGGACAGCATAATTCAAAACCTAGAGATGGTAAAAAAAATAGCATTGTTACAATGTATAGAGTGTCAATGGACACTGTGAGAGAAAGAAGGTTGAGTGAGATCCCAATGAACTATAATGTCACTAAACCATTCTGTTAAAGAAATCATAAAGGAATAATGAACTCATTGTTGTGTCAATTAGGAGGATAGCGATCAACAAAGCTACAGCATAAAGACAATGGGCATGATTTGCCTGTCTGGTCAGAGGAACATCCAAGCAATCAATACCCTATTTTACTAAGCAGCCTTACAAAGTATACAGTATAAGCTCTCTCTAAGCAAGAAAAGAAAAATAAAGCAAGATGCCATGCAATTAGTCCAAAAAAATCTTGTTTCTAGTATCCAACTATCATGCAACTGCCCCTCCATAGCAAGGATAAGCCATTTATTCCTTGCTGCAGGTTTCTGCAATCCTTAAAATCCCTCCTATCCTCTCTCTCCAGGGCTCTAATTTTTCTCTCCAATTTTTAATTTCTCTTTCTTCACCATATGTAATGTTCCTGGTGCTGGAAAATTAATTTTCCTCTTGGGATCTTCTTTTGCTGTTTCCTTCTCTTAGAGGTCCACAGTTTCTTTTTGAAGAGCACGATCTGACTAAGCAGTGCCATCCAGACAACAGTCACTAACCCGGCTCCCAGAGTGAGGTTACCTCAGCATCACCCTCTACCACCACCAGCGGAAGGAATCTCAGAATGCGGTTGTGCCTGGAGGAGGATACACTGTTACTGAGAATGACCTTTCCTTTTAGCACTGGTGGCTTCAAGGGGACAGGTGAACTCACTGAGCATTTTAGGATACTGCTGAAGCATAATTTTTGACTTCTGGTTTGGATGAAGCAGAGCACAGTCTTGGTATAGTGGAAGGTAACTAGACTTGGAGATAAAATAGACCTTGGTTGGAATACCATACCACTTGTATGTCTTACGATCTAAGTGACTTTGTGCATCCCACTCAACCACTGTAGGTCTGTGTGGTGTTCTGTGAGAAATGAGGACAACATAAACTTCTGTAGAGCGGGGAACAAGGCATGAGCTGGGTGTCTTTTTCTTTTCCCAGAGTACCACAGTCAAAGTCTTCAGGTCTCAGCAAAGGTGACCTGGCCTTGCAAACAGAGATGCCCAGAAGAGGGCGATAATGTACTTTCTCCAAGAAAGAAATTGTGTAGCAGAGTTACACAAGATTCTACAGCCATATGGCATTAGTGGTCTGGGAAATGAGGACATTAGAGAAATTCCAGGTTGTTGGTGCTGACCCCTTCGTTTCTGGGGCATAGCCTCTGTCAACCCAAACCTTTTTGTTTTTCTGATAATATGGCAATCTGTTATCTAGGGAGGCTGCAGAGTATTATTAATTTTAGGTGCCCACCGCTGCGCTCAGTAACACTTTGTGACAGTAGTTTCTTTTCAAAGAATAGCAGTTTAAAATTTCAGTGTTTGCTGTGCAGAGACACTCTGGGGTGGTAAAAGCTGTAGGAGAGGAAGAGGAGCCTTGGAAAGCAGTGTCTTTATTTAACAGCTTCACCTTCAACTCAGCTTTTTAATAATACATCAAAAGGTGTTTTTAGCAAGCAAAACAGACTTCATGGAACTAGCACAGAGAGGGCCCCAGGGGAGAAGGGATCCTAAAATGAGGCAATGGGGAGCAACAAGAAGCTCTCCTGGTGAAGACTTGGTCAGGACCCTGCCAAAAACATGTTACAGAACTTGTTCATTTCCCTCTGCCCCTTCCTCTGCAAAACGAAGCTACTGAGTAGAATGCTCTGCAAGCACTTCTGGCCTCACATTCATGGTTAGAGTTCTGATAAGAGATTAGGAGGCATTTCTTTTCATTTACATTCTATTCTTTTTTGGGGGTGGGGGTAGTGGTGGTCGTGATACAGGGGATTGAGGTAAAGGCCTTTGCCCTAAGCTATGTCCACAGCCCTTTTCATGTTTTTTTTTTTTTTAATTTTGATACAAGGCTTGATAAGTAGCTAAACTGCCCAAGCTATTCCCCTGCCTCATGCTCACAGAGTTCTGGGATTACAGGTGACACACACCAGCATACCAGGTCGGTGAGCTCAAAACAGGCCATTCGTAAATCTGCATGTATGATTTAAACCACATACGATGAGTTCACACTGAAGGCTGAATCTGTGGAAACTCTAGAAGAAACAAGAGAAAGGAAAGAGCAGATGGGACAGCAAGATCTCTGTCCATTTTGTGCCATGCCAAGTATTAAGGGTTCATTCGCATGGTGATAAATTATTCCTGCATATAAACTGTGAAGTGTGTTTGAGAGAAAAGGTTTAATTAAAGTTGATATTTCTGCACTTCTTTCTTCTGGCTGCCATTTCGCTGTAAAACACAATTATTTCTGATACTAAAGTGTTGAAACTAGATGACAACTTTTTCCCTTGTATAAAATATTCAAGCTTCATACTAATGAGTTTATGAGTTTCCCTATGACCAATAAACAGCAAGCCTCACCCTTTCTTAAAAAGATAAATTGATCTATTTTTCTTACGTTGGAATTAATAGCAATGCCAACTTGCCTTCAAAAGTAATTAATCAGCCTTATTTTTAAGTGATTATAAAATGCATGCAATATATGTTATTTTCATGATTAGTCTTAGTTTTGTGCAAGATAAATTTTAAGATTTTTGTTTATTCACTTTCAGAATGAAAATCTATTTAGCAAATTATTTTTTCTCAGAACTTGACAAATATTAAATCATATATTGATTTCTGTAAGAACTTTATAAATGAATATCTTGGATCTTCTTGCTTTAAATAAAGAAACTGAGCCCTAGATAAATTAAGCAGCTTGTGCTAGGTGAGGCTTCAGTAATGGCGATATTCAAACTGGTGCTATCTGCTCTATAACTACTCTAGTAACTATTCTAAACCAGTGAACAGACATAGCAATTTACAATAGTAGCTTGTTTCTGAAGTGCGTGAGGAAATGATATAGGCACTATGATAGAAAGAGCAACCGTGAGCTTCCTGAATGTGGGACATAAGTCATCACTGAAATTTAATGCATACCAGTAATATGGCTATGATGAAAATATTAGTAGTAGTAAGCATGTATCAGCTGTTATCTGCCTAATATTCTTGCAAGGGCTTTCATGAGATGAATCAATTTATCATTACAATACCTCCCCAAATATTAGTACTGTTATTTCCACTGTACAGGTAAACAGTTTGTGGTGTACCAAAATTAGGTAACTTGCCCAAGGTTAAAGAGCCCAGCAAGTGAAGGAGCTGAGACTGAGTCATCATGCTGGATTCTGGTTCTGTCTTTCTGTCCCTGAAATTCTACTCAGTATTGCTTTCCTAAAATAGGTTAGAAAAAATCTACCATGATAATAATTTAAGTTTTACCATGTGATGGGGGAATGATCCACCTGCCAACATATTCAGCTAACTAGAAAGAGAAAATATTTCATAGTAATGGCCAAAGCAAAGATTAGCAATTCACAGTCCACCAACAATACAGTAAAACCATGTTTTCATCTATATATTTTATGGAAGTCAATCTTTGTATTTTTTTGTTAAATCCTTATTTCAGAATTTCTAAGTTTATAGGTTAGGGATGTATTCAAGGAGCTTTTCTTCACTTTTGTTAAAAAAAATACTTCTAGGATCTAGAGAACAGATTGTTGTGCTCAGGACTGGAGGTTTTGCAGGAATCAAACATGAAAATTAATAAGAGACCGCCCTCCTAAGAAGACCTCGATGTTGGTAATAATTGGAATGTTCTAATTAGTTTTACTAAAGTTCCCCCAAGGTAGTTCTTGGACAGTTCTTCCATTACAGCACTTTCCAGCACTATGCCAAGATGCCTAAGTATTTGGATTCTACTGAAACATATAGGAGTACTTTATTTTATGATGGGAGCACATTGCTAGGAGGGAAAAATAAATGTTGTTGAAAGTCACAGGAGTAATAACATGACAGGAAAATGGATTTGCAAAACCACCAGCTCTAAGTGGAAGGCTCACCTCTCTATCTTGAGAGCAGATAGCCCGTCATAGGCTACTGTGCCTTGAGCATAAAACTCTCTTGCTATGCCTGCTTTTGTCTCTGTGAAAGAAAATGACATATATGGGTGTTTAAGTATATTTGGACTCCTGCTGAAAATTGTTATTAAGTAGAGAAAGAAAGACGAAAGCACTTAGCAAAAAGCAAGTGGATTTGATTTTTCAGCTTTCTCCTCCCTGCAGAGCTGGAAGGATCAGACAGGCTGACCCATTCTTTTTTTCCAGGTAGCTAATTTACAGCTAAAGACAAGTTATCATTACATTAAGAATATTACCCAGGCCCACACCAGAACTCAAAATCCCATTCTGTATCTGTAATGTGCCCTTGTTGGTGAGCTCAGGGACTCTGGTCTTCCCTTCAACCAAAACAGCTTTGTAACCAATCGGATTCTATTATGCAAATTAATTCAAGTATATTTTATTCCCGTTCAGATCTCATCACTCAGCACTGAGCTGGTTTCCCATGTCAAGTCAAATCACAGGA